TTTTATTTTTTAATCTTTTATTTATTTGGTATCTTGTCTTGATATGCAGCCCAGACTCAGTGATTCTTTTGTCTCAACCTCCCCAGCTCTGGGGTTACAGGTGTGCACCACCATACCTGATTTTGGTGGCCAGTACTGCATGCCTGGGGTATTGTGGCTGGCATGGCATGTGGTACTGGAGATTGAACCAGGGTCCTTGCACTTGCCTCGCAAGCACTTAGACTGCTGAGCTATCTCCCCAGTCTATAACTTCCTTTAAATGTTTCCATAATGTTCACAATTCATAGAGATTTTATGTTTGCTCCTAGGCTATTAAAATGTCGATTCATTGAGTTGGATATGGTAACCCTTGCCTGTACGTCCAGTTACTCCAGAGGCTAAGGAGTACAATCATTTGAGCTCAGTCATTTCAGGTCATTCTGGATAGCAAATAAAGATAAATCTAAAATCAAACAAGAACAAGTAGTAAACTGGAGAGACAGAAACAGAGAGAGAGAGAGAGAGAAAGAAGAGGAGAGGGGAGAGGAGAAGAGAGACTGGGAGAGGGAAAGAGAAAACAGGAGAGAGGAAAGGGGGGAAAAAAAGAAAAAGAAACAAAGATTATGACTGTCCTGATTATTGCACATGGTAGTATAAAATAAGCTTGCTATTCAGGATCTCTCTGTATCTCCTTGGCCCATCCCACAGGAGAAAGTGCACAATTATTATAAGAACTTGATATGATCCATTAGCCTAGAAAACAGATTCCTGTATCTCAAGAGATGTTAAATTATCCCAAAGAGAAACCTTGCTTATTGTGAAGTTGAGTATTTCCCTAGGACACTGCTTTCCTTTGTCACCAACTGTAATTTGCTCTCCTTGGGTGGGAATAGCATCCACATTTCTGTTTATTATGTGTTGCAGCAGCCTCTTGCCTTCTAGAATCAAGCAGAGTGGGATTTCAGCCCACACTTAAAAAATTCTCCGCCTTCAAAAGATTGATCCCTCTAATCCCCTCCTCCTCTTTGAACCAGTGTTTCATTGCCTTTGATGTTGACAATTTGCATTTCCTGAGTGAAATCTAGCATCTTTTAGGAAAAAGACATTTTCAATACTGATCAAATCAGCATATGTGCGCACATACACTGGTGAAACCCCAGGACTCTGTTAAGAGACGTAGTATGCTCACATTCACTGTTATCGAGCAAATATCCTGTGATTTCGAAAACACATTTTTCTTGGTATGTATGTATGTACAGTCCACCTATTACTTTTACAAGTTAAAATAAAAATTGGTATTTTAAGGTGCTACTTAAACATACGACTTTTAGGCCAAAATGTCTTTACCATGGTGATGTTTCCAATATCAAAACATGGTTAGGATGTCACTTGTCAAGATGTATTTCTACAGTGTTCCCCCATTTCTCCATTGCTCAGGATGTGAGGTCTTGGTGCGGTAGGCTGTCTGTGGGGTCCTCTATGCACCAGTGTGTGCTCATCGATTGTTTTCTGAGCAGCTGAGGCTGGCACTGGGTGAAGGGACCTCCTTGTGGCTGCTCTGGGCTGTGTACATCCCGCCTCCTCCCCTCTCTGTCTCCCAGATGCCACCAGCTGAACAGCTGAACAGCTCATGCTCCACCTGCACCCTCTGCAAGACATTTAAAGCCAGTCAACAATCACCAAGTGAAAGCGCTCCTTCCTCAATGCCTGAGTGGTGGGTTTCAGATATGTGTCCAAAAAGCTTGAACAGCAACTAAGAAAACTCTAAATCATTTTCTAGGCAGAATTAAAAAAAAACACAAAAAAAACAACCTGAGAACCAGTTCAGAAAGGGAGAGCTCTAGCTGTTGCAATCCAAATACAGGTATTGGAAATAACAAAGCACACAGACCAAAACATTTTGAGTTACTGAGATGTGAGCACAATGATTATAGAAATAAACCTTCTAAAAAACTTATATAATGAGCAAACAAAGAGAAAAACTGGATGAGATAAAAACCATCTATTAAACCAAATTTCAATCATCTGTTTCAAAAATGCTCATATTTCTACCTGTTCGGTGTAGATGAAAATTATTGGAAAACACCTTCCTCTCCTGTCCCATGAGGCTGTGTGCTTACTGTGCTCCCTACCTTTCTGTCTTTCTCACTTTCCCTCCCACAACATCAAACCACACACAATATTAATCACACACAAACACAAACTTATAAGGAAAATTGAAGTATTTGAACAGTAACAGCACTGTTTGCTATTAAATATAGTTTACTTAATAATAAACCTCTGTATACAACAATTTGGAGTCCAAGTTGATCATATTTTATATTGTCTTATAGGGAGAATAAATAAACTTCTTTACAAACTAGCAAAAAAAAAAAAACCACTGATGAATCAAAATAGAATTTTATAGTTTATTTCTTAGACATTTTGGTATGCAGTTATCATTTGAAGGTATTTAAAAATCTGTCATGTGAGGAATGCTGAGCATAAATTCCATAAAACACCAGACTGTTGCAAACAGGTTAAGAAGCTGTGGAAATTCCTCAGTAGAAGCCATAGGTCCAGTATCTTCTACAGCACAGGGGGCGGCAATAGCCATAGCCATAGCCACCATAGCCTCCATAGCCTCCATAGCTATAGCCACAGCCAGAGCCATAGCCATAGCCACAGCCGAGGCCACCATAGTAGTTGCCGTAGTAGCACATGGTTCTAGGAGTGGACAGCTCTGTTGAGGACCAGCAAATCAATGTCTTGTGTCTGGGTGTCAATGCCTTCCTAGAGCCTTTATACCTCTTGGTGGTTGGTTGTCTGACCAATGAGCTTCAGTCAATGTCATAAAAATCTTTACTATTTGAGAAAACTAAGTTCTCATAACTGAGATAATTTTCCTTCTATGTCAAGAATACATTGCCCAATAGTGGGCCTTCACAATGGAACTCTTGTTCTATTTTCAAGCCTCTGGTTCATTTTATATTTAGCTAACTGTAGACATATGACTTGATCATATGTTATGGTGTACATCATGAAATTAGGTTTCCCATTTTACCTTTGTTTTGTTTGCAGTACTCCAACTTATTTCTTCATACTTGCTCATTTATGAGCTACTTACTGGTCATTACTATAAATCAGTAGCTAGTTACTGTTATGTAAGTACTCAAACACATTTAATCTAAATTTATTCTTTGAATAAATGATTTCAAGAAAATGTCCATTAACTAGGCAAAAACTCTATATTCTATGTTGCCCTTGGGTAGGCTTAATATGGAATTTGATGTTAATATAGTAAAAGACTGAGCATGTATGATCTAACTTATCCATGTTATATTTCACCATATCTACAGTATACCTATGTGGAAGACAAGGCAACTTGAGATGCCCACCAACCTATAACCTTCTTACATTATTTAACTGAAAATGAAGTTTCTTTTCAGGGCATCAGTGTAACTAAGTTGGAATTATCTACTATAGAGACTTTAGAGATATCTCCATTAAAAATGTCTGATTGTCCAATTGAGGTGAGTGTTATTTCTTGCCTTTAGTGCCAGTTATGCTAGAGCCTGAGATGGGTCAGACACTTCAGCACAGAAGTTGTAGCCTACCTTAGACTACACAGGCAAGAAGAACCTAAAAACAAGGAAGAGATAAGGAAGCAACCAAGAGAAAAGATATTTAATGAAAGAGAGACAGACAGACAGACAGCCATAGAGACAGAGACAGAGACAGAGACAGAGACAGAGACAGACAGACAGACAGACAGACAGACAGACAGACAGAGACAGATAGAGATAACCAGAGACTAGCAGAAAGGCAGACAGATAGACAGAGATTTAAACTGATTTGATGGATCTCTGCCTCTTTGGGCCCAGCCCATAGGAGATCCTCCTTGTTCAGTTGAGGGTGTTTCTTTTTAGGGAAATCCGAATGCTCATGATTATTTTCTCAAGGCCTTTCTATGAGTAAATTTCTAATTTCCAATGACTTTTGCCGTCGTCTTGGGGAACAGACTCTTGCAACTTCAGAGTTTGTAAATTATCTCAAGGAGAAACCTTCCCTAGCTTGAAGTTGAATACTGTAGCAGTGCATTGTTCTCAGGATTGTGCCTTGTCTCAGTGATGTGCTATCCTTGGGCGGGGAACATTCAAAATTTTGTGGATGTTTCTTCTCCCAGAAGCCCCTTGGCTGCCTCCCAGAATCAACAGCAGTGAGATTTCAATCCATGTCTACAGTATATCTGCCTCTCCAGAGTACTGGTTCTTTAACCTTTGCTTTTTCTATCATATTTTCTTGCACATTGACAGTGTCAGTTTAAGTCTCCCAACTGAAACCTGATATCCTTCAGGAATGAACCAATTCTACTATCAAGCATAACCATACATTTTATTAAAAACCAGGCAAGCAAATTTATAATTCAATCTTAATTTTGTTACTGAGCAAATACTTCATGGTTTTGATAATTATGCATGCCTGTATAACCTGCATTTTATTGTATTTTACTTTACTTTACTCTTTGTTTCTATCTATCTTTTTGAGATAGGATCTCACTATGTAGTTTAGGCTGGCCTTGAAATCCCTCTGTATCCCAGGCTGGCCTGGAACTTAGTGATCCTCATGATCCTCTTCAGCAGTCTCCCAAGTGCTTAGATTACATATATATATAATTTTTGTGACAGGTCTTATCATGCAGTTCAGCTTGTCCTTGAGCTCACTTTGTAGCCCAACCCTCAAAATTGCAAAGATCCTCCCGCATCAGCCTCCAGATACTATTTTCTAAATATTTAAAATGAAACACTATACATCGAGAAATTACAGAAACTATATTTTTAGTTAGAATGCTGTTATTACTCATCAC